TTCTGACGGGGCCATCCCCTCCTGGCCCCTTCTGAGCCGCGCCTTCACGGCGAGGCCATGTGTTTCAAGGGCTCTTTCTCGATTGTGAATTTAACTTTCGGAATGGTTGACTTGGTGGTATTGTGAAGTGTTTCTGGTTGGTCTTTTTTAACGATAACAAACGTGGCGTCTACATATCGTACCCACAATGAAGGAGCCGTCGATTCGAGCTTCTGCACTATCACTTTGATAATTAAACCAGATATGCGTGACCTCAGTGGGGCTATTTTCAATTGTTGATGGTACTGGTGGTCAAATGAAAAATCAGTTTCTAAGCAAAACAGTTGCGGAACCCGTCAGCACGGAAATATCATGATAAAAGTAACAATTTTTAAATCTTACAAAGGCCATGGAGCTGTCATTCGTAAGCGGAGGGGATATGTGAGGAAACTTGAGTTCATTTTAAGTGTTCAAAGCAAACTTCATCCAGAGATGGTAGGTGAAGATGAAATCAAGACAATAGAAGACTCAGTCTGAAAAATGGTTTAACAGTTGCTGGACAAAAAACCTGACTGATATTGCAACCGCGCCGTTCCTAAATCTTAGAGCTAAACATCCCAGACAACATCAACTATCCTAAACACATTAGAGGAACACACCGTTACGGCCAATTCTCTCTTTATTTAATTCATATAAACACAGTCTATTACACTTTTCACACTTGGGTCAACTCAAATCAAGCAAATCTGCCAAACAATCTTAATCCTAAGTCAGCCTAGTAGTCATTCTGGTGGATTCTAGATGATTGCTTAGGAAATCCTGCTTGGACTGTCAGCTTGTTGTTCCGTATTGGTGATCATTCTGGTGGATTCTAGATGATTGCTTAGGAAATTCTGCTTGGGCAGTCAGCTTGCTGTTCCGTATTGGTGGATTCTATACGAGTGTTAAAGTTTGGCGGGTAATATCGACCCAAGTGTGATTAAATTCATGGCGCGAGTTTAGGCGTTTGTAGCTTAGCGCTTAGAGCGTTGGCCTCCGGTGAAGGCCTTCTCTACTACGCGGGTTTAAATCCCGCCGAAAGCCTCGAGTTTTTTCACAATTGGGTTAACTCAAACTAAATGACATTCGAAAGTTGGAGATCTTAAGTGCTTGAAATATGTTGCCACTGCTTGATACAGCTGCCATGTGTTGGCCGCATTAGTGGGTTCCCCAGAATCCCCTGCGTGCTTCCTAGTACAAAATTAAGGGCAACAATAGTTTAAGTATACTTAGTGCACCTCATATAACCCCAGTCCCAGAATTTGTCTTACGGAAACGATTCTTATAAGGGTTTTATGGGTGGGGAATTAGGATAGGCAGTGGAATATACTTTAATAACTCTTATATGCATTTTATGTTATTGTACTTAGAAAGGTTGCTGATTTATATCTGCAGATTTTCCTAATCTGTATTACTATTTAACATATTGCGGAAAAATCCGATTATCAAAATGCATGTTTCTTGAAATTCCTGAAAAAATAGAATAGTGGTTAGGTGGTCATCTACTACCTTTGCCAAATTAAGTTTTTTTTAAATTCGTCTTTTGAAGTTTTCGTTGGAATAATTTTCTAATTTCACGTAGATCAGAATGTTTCCAGGAGACTTTCTTTAGGACATAAAGTAACTTTGTGCAGTAACTTTTCGAAGCTGGATTCCAAGGTCGTCGTAAGACTTGAGAAGACGTACAACGAACAAGTAAAAGTTCAAAAGTGTTGGTACAATCTCATCGTCTCGTGACGGTGTGGGTGGCTTGGGGGTGCCTGTTATCACTGACTCGTCACCTCGCGGCGTGGCGGTGACGAAACAGCGACAACAAGCATCCTCAGGCCACCCACACCTAATTACTACTGATTGGCCGTTTAAACTTGTGCTAACTCTACCTCCCCCTCTTATATTATTCTATTTGCCTGATGATTAATTAATCCAAAACTTTCATTTGCCTAACTCGAATTTCTGTAGTTATTTACTTATTAAGTGTCAAATCAAAACCTGGCTCGACTCAGTCTACCAAGACAGGCTATTTCTTGAACTTTCGGTCAACATCACTGGAGGGCAGTGGTTCGAGTCCCTTAGATGCACTTGCATAGATAGTCAGGCGAGGGGAAGTACGACTGGCAATAGTACCGACAACTAGGCGCAGGTGGCTGGCGCGGCCTAATTTGCCCCTGTGCCACCACGCCCGCCCCTCTCCCCGTGATAGATACGCCGAACCGACACGGGGGCCAGGTCAGGGTATGGCAGACGTTATTAGGGCTGCGGTCCTACAACCCAGTTATTAAGTCGTTATGCGT